CTTCATATTCTCTTCTGTAAGCTAGGTATTTTGATTATTATATGTCGAGGGGTCTTTTTTCTTTGGTCTAGCCTATTTGGGGTTCGGTATGCTTCTTGTACTTTCATGGGCATGTCCTTCTTCAGATTTGGCAAGTTTTCCTCGATGATTTTGTTGAATATGTTTCGGCACCTTTGAGCTGGGCTTCCTCACCTTCCTCTATGCCTGTTATTCTTAGGTTTGGCCTTTTCATGGTGTCCCACATTTTCTGGATGTTTTGTGTTAAGGATTTGTTGGATTTATGATTTTCTTTGGTCGATGAATCTGTTTCTTCTAGTTTATCTTCTGCGCCTGAGGTTCTCTCTTCCATCTCTTGAATTCTGTTGGTTATGCTTGTGTCTGTAGTTGCCAATTTTTTTGCCCAGCTTTTCTATTTCCAGAATTCCTTCAGTTTGTGTTGCCTTTATTTTCTCTATTTCAAGTCTTGAACTGTTTCCTTCACCTGGTTAATTGTTTTTTCTTGGCTTTCTGTACTTTCCTTAAGGAATTTGTTCATTTCTTCCACTTTTTTGTTTGTTTTTTCCTCCGTTTCTTTAAGGGATTTTCTCACATCTTCTTTGAGGTCCTCTACCATTTTTATGATGGTAATTTTTAAGTCATTCCCTTCTGCTTCCTCTGCTTTGTTTTGTTCCATTCTAGTTGGGGTAGATTCCCTTGATTCTGGTGGTGTCATGCTTGTCTTTATGTTGTTAGGTGTTTTCTTGTATTGCTGTCTTCCTATAGCTTCTTCCAGTAGGTGTTGGTAGGGTCTCCCCTTCTCTCCATGGTATTTCCCTAGTGGGCTTATGTGGGTCAGAGGTTCAATATCTGTAGATCTGGGTGGTCCAAGCTCTATAGGAGGTCTCTCCACAACGGGGACCCAGGGATGGGGTCAGGGGAAAGGATCCAATAGAAGATGCCTGCAGAAACTCAGAGTGGTCCAGCAGAGATAGGCGGATCTCTGGGAGGGGCCTGGGACTCCAGCAGAGGACTGGAGGTGGGGGTCAGAGACCAAGCAGGTGGAAATTACAGGTGTTCCTGCGTGGATAGGCAGGTCTCCTTTGTTCAGAGTTGTTCGGAGAAGTCCCCGAATTAGGGTGGACTGTTGGCTCCACCCTCTGTCCCAGTGCTCAACCAGAGCTGCGGGACAGTGGGCAGGGTAGGGCACGGGGTAGGGAGAGCAGGCTCGTGGCGGGAATGGGTGGGGATGTATCAGAGCTCCAAGGGTGCTCTCGATGGTGACCTTAAAACTGACTTTTCAATGTAATCTCTAAAATCCAGAAAAACCTGGACAGATGTGTTGCAGATTCTCAGAGATCACAGAGAGCAAGCAATCCAGGCAATATACTTGGAAAACATTTAATCACCATATGTGGAGAAAGCAAAATATGTTGTGGAATATTATTTTAAGATGCATTACATTTGTTTATGCTGTGGAACATTTAATGATGCAAAGATGTATTTAACTCTTTTGTTGCATTTGCTTAACTCTGTGAAGCTGTGTGCCTTTGCCTGTCTAAAATACCTGGTTGGTCCAATAAAAAACTGAATGGCCACTAGCTAGACAGGAGAAAAATTAGATGTGGCTGGCAGGAAGAAAGAGTAAAAAGGAGGAGAAATCTGGGGAGAGGGGATAAAGTAGCAAGAAAAGAAAGAGCCAGCCACCCAGCTACACAGCCAGACAGGGAATAAGAAGGAAAGAAAAGATATACAAAAATAGAGAAAGCTAAAAGCCAAGAGGCAAACAATAGATGGAATCATTTAAGTTTAAAAAAGCTGGCTAGAATAAAGCCAAGCTAAGGCCAAGCATTCATAAGAAAGAATAAGTCTCTGTGTGTGGTTATTTGGGAGCTGGGTGACAGCCCCCCCAAAAGAGCCAAATAGTATAAACAACCAACATGACATGGAATAAACATATACCATGATAAAGTCAAATTTAAAGAATAACCCTCTACAAACCCAGCCCTACAGACAATGTTAGAAGGAAACTTCCAACCTAAGGAACTTAACTACACCCATGAAAATACAGCAATTAAATAATATCACACTAGCAAAAGCAAAAGAAGAAAACCACATACACACACACCTATATACAACAGCAACAATGACAACAAATTAACAGGAATCAACAATCATTGGACACTGGTATCTCTGAATATCAGTCTTCTAAATTCACCAATAAAAAGACACAGTAACAGGATAGTTGCAAAACAGGACCCATTCTTTTGATGCATCCAAGAAACACATCTCAAATAAAAGATGGACATTGTCTCTGAATAAAGGGTTGGAAAAAGATATTCTAAGCAAATGGACCTAAGAAGCAAGCCAGTATATCATCTTAATATCTAATAAAACAGATTTCACATTAAAACTAATCAGAAGAGATAAGGAAAGACATTACATACACATCAAAGGAAAAATCCACCAAGATGACATTTCAATTCTTAACATCTATGCCCCAAACACAAGGTCACATCCTTTAATTCCAGTACTAGGGAGGTGGAGACAGAAGTGGTGTGGCTGAGCAGAGTGGGAAATATAAGGTAGGAGGAAACTGGAACTCAGGGGATTAAGTCTGAGGCTTGGTGGAGAGCAGATCAGTATGCATTGCACTCTAAGGATTCTTGAAGACAGGCTCACCCATTTTAGTCTGAGGTAAAGATAAGAGCTATTGGCTGCTTTGCTTTTCTGATCTTCAACCTGAACCTCAATGTCTGTCTCTGGGTTTTTATTATTTGTATTACAAACCCCCCAACATCCTATCAGACCATCACCAATTAAAGCTGGCTATCAACAACAACAAAAAGCTTACTAACTCATGGAAACTTAACAGCTCTCTACTGAATGAATAAATGAGTCAAGACAGAAAGAAATTAAAGAGTCTAAATTCAGTGGAAGTGAATATATATCATACTCAAACTTATGGGACACAATAAATAAAATAAAATTGGAGAAATCTCATACTAGCATTTAAACAACAACCCTGAAATCTCTAGAACAAAAAGAACTAAGCACACCCAAGAGAAGTTGGAAAGAAACAATCAAACTGAAGTTTGACATATAGAAAATACAAGGAATCAATGAAACAGAGTTGGTTCTTTAAGAAAATCAAGAAGATAGACAAACTCTTATCCAAGCTAACTACAGAGAGTGAGAGAATGTCCAAATTAACAAAATCAGAAATGAAAAGGGAGACATAACAGCAGACACCATATAAATCTAGACTCATAAGGATGGACTCTAAAAAAAAACATGTACTCCACCAAATTGGAAAACCTAAAAGAAGTGTATAATTTTCTCTATAGGTATTACTTACCAAAGTTAAACCAAGGTCAGATAAATATAAGTAGTCATTAAAAGTCTCTCAACCAAAATAAATAAATAAATAAATAAAAGCCCAGGGCCAGATGGTTTTACCAGACTTTCAAATGGGCAGCACTAGAAAAAAAAAAAAAACACACACACACATCCTAAATGAGGTAACCCAAAACCAGAAAGACAAATATAGTATTTACTCACTCATAAGTGGGTACCAGAAATAAAGCAAAAGATACCCAGCCTATAATCCACAACCCCAGAGAAGCTTGAACCTTCTTCCAGAAATAGATTGAAGCAGATGCAGACATCCACAACTAACCAGTGGGCCAGGGAAGAGCAAAAATATGAACAAAGGAGTCAAGACCATGATGGGGAAACCCACAGAACCAGCTGACCCAAGCTAGTGAGAGATCACTGACTCAGGTCTGACAAATGGGGAATCTGCATAAGACTGAACTTGACTCCCTTAATATAGGTGACAATGGTGTGATTGGCATAATATATGAGGCCATTTGGTTCAAGACCTAACAGGAATGTACAAACTGACTTAGTGGAGGCCATTCTGTATGGTGAGATAACACACCCAGCCTAGACACAGGGGTGTGGAGGTGAAGAGGTGCCTTGGTCCTGCCTGAACTAGACTTAGTAAACTTCCCATTGGAGGCCTTACCCTTTCCTGGAGCAGATAGAAGGAAGGGGGAATGGATGGTGTGGGAGGAAAGAAGAGAGGGGGAACTGGGATTGGTCCATCATTACTGGACCCTCACCAAACTCTTCTCACAGATCCTGCAATTGCCCCGAGTCATGGAGTTATTGTTCCTCAGGATGATGCCTTTCATAAACTCCAGCAGGTCATAGATAGAGTATATGTTAGGGTGAGACAACCCAAGCCCCAGAATATGGGTCTTGGTGGTAGCTCAGCTGTTTGGTCTGGGCCACAGGGATTGCCTCCCTCAGGCAAGTGGGAGAATAATTTCTCCTAGGCCAACTCTCCATTGGTGAGTGAAACCAGCTCTCTTGCTGTAGTGTCCAACTAGGGGGCATGGCCAGCTATCCAGGGCCAGTGAGGGGTGGGGCCAGCGCAGCCAATCTGTCAGGAATCAACAATGTATGGTTCCTATGGTCCTCCCTGTGGTAACGCAGGCCATGGACATTATCACAGACACCAACTGCGGCAGGAACACAGACCCAGGCGTGACACTTGGCAGCAGCTTGGGTCTGGACAACATTATGGCCCCATTGGCAGGACAGCCACCTTGATCAGTGTGGCCCCAGTGGCATCAAGATCCTCGGACACCAACATGGTCTCAGGTGGCTGTCCAGACTCAGGATATCTGCACAGCCCCTGGTGGCAGCAGGAGCCACAGACCCATACCCTGGCTGCTGCTAAACCACAAACCCACATATGACCTGTGACAGGAGCCTGGACCCAAAATAACACCATGTCCCCATGCAGCAGCATAAACCACTCAGATCAGCAAGGCCCTGGTGGCAGCACAGCCCTCAGACACCAATATGGCCACAGGTGACAGTCCAGGCCCCTGGCTTCAGGATATCAGGAGCCACAGACATCAACACAGTCCCTGGCTGCAGTAGAGCCATGAAATTCCTAGTTTTTGTATGTTGTATTCATTTAAAGAAATTACACATTACCCATTATGACATAGATTTTTATTCCATTTATTAATAAGAATATGACAGTTTCATTGTATCAGCACATTTCATAGAATTTTAGTTTGTATTCATTCATATTTCATTAAGTTTGTTAATAGGTAACTAGTAATTTTATTGCTTTTGGATAATGTTTCCCTTTTCTTCAAGAGATTCCAAACATATAGGTATAGTGGTATGCCTTTAATCTCAGCATTCTAGAGGCAGGCAGGGGTGGGTGTATGTCTGTGAGATCCTGGGTTAGCCTTGTATACATAGTAAATTCCAGACTACCCAGGGTTATATAATGAGAAACTGTTTTCAAAAAAAAATCTTATTTGAGATATTCATTAATGAAATATACAAGTCCAACTGTGTCCTTCACTCTTGGTAAATAATACTTTTTTGAATTTATGTCCACATTTTTCTGGATCTTCTATAAACACAACACTATCACCTTCCCTTTCTGATTTCTCTAATATATTATTCTTTGTACAAAAGATATTACTAAAATTGAACATTTTTAAAAACCCTGTCCTGATTCAAATACAGTTTTTCAAATAATTTTAGAAACATTAAAGAATTTATCTCATCAATACTATGTCCTTTTAATATTAATTTGACAACACACTTTAATATACTGCTAATTTACTTATCTATAAACATGTAAGATCAAGTTTCACAAAACCATTTATACATTTATTTATTTATTTTCTTATTTTACATATCAATCCCATTTCCCTCTCCCTCCCTTACAAAACAAGTTTTAAATCAAGAAAATTTGATGAATTTACATTCATGTGAATTGATTTTTTCTGCCATAGCTCTGTTGAACCCCTTGAAAATGCAAATATCAAGTCTAGCTCTCTCTCAGATAAAATATGTAAAATTTTCTTTTGCCTGTAACATGTGCCTATCAAAAAATAAAATAAATGATATATTTCCCAAGTAGAGACTTGTTCAGCTTTCTCCTCAGTCTCCCCACATCTGAGTCATGATGATTTTCTTCTTAACAACATCCCATCCCAAACTTCCCACAAGGAACTTACTCTTAGAGCTCTGGGCTAATGAAGGGGGCCCTGGGACTCTTGGTCACCCCTGCCAAGTGTGACGCACCTCCAAACCAAGAGGGGAATAACTGCAAATACTCTTCTTTCTCAACAGATTTGAGAATTAATAACTTATCAATAATTTCTCACTGTTAACTCCATAAATGTTGAAAATTCTTCCGTTACCTAAAAATGTCTCTTAAATGACTGTCTTCATCTCCTGCCTCCTGCCCAAGACTTGTAGGTGAATCAAGTCAGTGTGAAGAGCCAGAAGGAAACAGAACATTGAAGTCACAGAAATAATCTTTAGGGTAGGGCCTGGTGAAATGGCAAAGTGTTTAAAGGCTTGCTGCTTTTTCAGAAGACTCAGATTTGGCTTTCAGTATCCAAATGGTGACGTTGACTCACAACCATCTGCAACTCAAGTTCCAGGTGACTGATCTGTCACCTTCTTCTACCTTCCCACCCCCCATGGACACAGGCATTCACTAGGTACATATAAATGTAGGCAAGACATTTAGATATATAAAATAAAAGTAAATCAATATTTCAAAACACAAGAATCTTTGGACTAAACATCTTGATGTTGTCTTTCTGACTTCCCACACAGCTCTAGTGACTTAAATCTAGCTGTGAATTGACAAGACAAGGTGAGTTGATAAGAAGTGATGTGTTCAATCGCCAGTATCCAAGACATCTCTCATTCCATGATGCATAAACAGATCTCGTGGTAAGAATTCTGACAATAGCCTCCATATTAGTATTCATCAATAAATGGATAGTTGGGATGTTCATCAAAACTACAATTATAAAAAAAGAATGCCTGATGTAAGAAATCAACTCTTTCTTGTTTTAAAGAAGGGTAAGTTCAAATGTTGGTCAGTACTAAAGGCTAGTTCAAGGTGTTCTAGTTCCTGCTAACAAGTTCACTTCCTTTTTACTAATCAAACACAGTGTTTGCATAATGTACTGTAAAACTTTATGTCAACCTGACACAAACTAGAGTTATTGAGGAGAGAGAGCCTCGATTGAGAAAATGTCTCCATAAGACCCAGCTATCAGCAAGCCAATAGAGCATTTTCTTAGTGATTGATGTGGGATGCCACAATCCATTGTAGGTTGTGCCATCCCTGGGCTGATGGTCCTGGGTTTTATAAGAAAGCAGGCTGAGCAAGCTATGTAGAGCATACCAGTAAGCAGCACTCCTCCATGTTCTCTGCACCATCTCCTGCCTCCAGGTTTCTGCCCTGCTTGAGTTCCTACCTTCAATGGTTTTTATGATGAACTGTTATATGGAAATGTGAGTAAAATAAATCCTTTCCTCCCCAAGTTGTTTTGATAATGTTGTTTCTTCACAGCAATAGCAATCCTAGCTAACACAGGTAATTAACATATTAAGTTTATAAATGGAACTTCTTTCAGACAGGGTCTCACATATCCCAGGCTGGCCTCAAACTCAGCTGACAATGGCTGTGAACTTCTGACCCTCCTGCCTCCACCTCCCAGTGCTGTGGCTATAGCTGTGTACAACCATGCCCAATTTAAGAACTTTGAGTTCCTTATTCTGGAAACATACTCTGTAATTTAGTGACTGGTGATACAAAATATAATTGACAAAGATCATTCTTTATAGTTAAACATATAAAAGACAGCAATAATTCTTCTCTGCTTGCCATTCTCTCTACCTTTGCATTATTCTTAACTTTTTTCTATACCAATAAAAAATTATTAATGGTTTATCTGCTATTCTCCTGAGCACATATAATTTTAATTGAACTATTCTTACTTTATACACCATTCCATTATTATTATTGTGAATTTAAATTCCCATGAGCACTCCCTGCCTATGTTCATTTATAGGGTATGTCTTGTCTCAGTTCCCACAACCTTACAAAAGTAAGGAAAAGTAGAGACCATTTGTTGGCTTCAAATTTCTTCCAACAATGGGAATATCTCCAATATCTTTCTTCTGTTTCTTATCTCACTAATTTAACACATCTCTGTTCTCTGCATTGAGATATCTACATTTCTGAAAACAATAGTTTCTACTCGCCTCACAAAGAAAAACTGATTTTATACAAAGTGGCATTTGAGTGCTGAACAAAGTTGAGGAAAAGGAATTGTGAGACTTGAATCTATTAAAAACATCAAATTGACAAGGTACAATTAACAATTCCATATGAAGTAGATATGAGAGTCTAAGACTATGGTGTTTGATCTGGTTAACAAAAAATTTAAAGAAAGAAAGAAAGAAATGAAGGAAGGAAGGAAACACTGAGATATGTGGGAGCAGATATCATAAGCTAGCATTTAGAAACATTGAATTCAGCTAAAGTGTATGCCCCATGCCATAGCTGTAGATGACAGAAGCCTACACAGTGCTTTAGTTTTAACAGACATTGTATTATCCAGAAAGTTCAAGGGATTGAGGCATGCAGAGGGCATATGTGGAAATCAAGCTGACCCTGATTCCACCAAGGAAAAAGAGCTCTGGAAGACAATCAGTAAGAACTCCTAAAGCAACTCATTCCTAGCTCACACTAGCCTTTGTCTTGTGTATATCAAGGTAACTTTTAACACATTACAGTTCTACTCAGAAAACAAATTGGAGAAATGTATTGATCAAAGGTACTTACAAATGTGCAGAATTGTATCTTAAATTTCTGTTCAAGCCATCTAGGACTTTCATGTCCTCTGTAGTCAACTGGAATTCAAAAACCTATCACAGAATTAGAAATTTTATTACTTTTATATTTTACATATTGCTAGTCTGGGAAACTCAAGTAAATTCAACAGAGTGGTGCAGAGGTAATATTGAAAACACATGAGACATATAGCAAATCTCTTCAAGAAACCAAGCAAAACATTCAAACTATTAAGGAGCAATATGTGGAAAGGAAATAAAGCCACGTTAGACAAACCAAGGAGAAACTAGGAAAGAAACAAATGAACTTAAACGCCTACAATCCACACCTCCAGAGAAGCTAGGAAACAAGGAAAATCCTAAGAGAGACATACATGGTCCACCAGAGAAGGGGAAAGGGATAAGATCTCCTGAGCAAATTGAGAGCCCAGGGGGAGGGAGAAGAAAGGAGTTAGGAGAAAGATAAGGGGAGAAGAGGATGGGGGAGGAGGACATGAGGAAGCAGGAAGATTAAGTCAGGGGAAGAATAGAGGAGAGCAAGAAAAAAGATACCTTAAGAGAAGGAGCCATTATAGATTTAAAGAAAAATCTGGCACTAATGAAATGTCCAGAGATCTATAAGGATGATCCCAACTAAGAATCTAAGCCATAGTAGAGAGGCTACCTTAAATGTCCTTCCTCTACAATGAGATTGATGACTACCTTATATGCCATTCTAGAGCCTTCATCCAGTAGCTGATAGAAGCAGAAAGCAGACACCCACAGCTTAGCACTGAGATGAACTCCTTGAATCCAGTTGCAGAGATGGAGGAGTGGCCAGGCTGGGAAAACCCACAGAAACAGCTGGCCTGAACAAGGAAGAGCTCATGAACCCAAGACTGACAGTTGACAAACCAGCATAAGAGCAAAAGAGGACCCCTGAACATAGGTGTCAATTAGGAGGCCTGGTCAGTCTGTGGGGCCTCTATTAGTGGATCAGTATTTATCCCTAGTGTGTGAATGGACTTTGGGAGCCCATCCCACATAGAGGGATACTCTCTCAGCCTGGACACACAGGGGAGGGTTGTGGGAGATGTCAGTCTGTAAATATGTTTCTCTTATTGGTTAATGAATAAAGCACTGTTGGTCAATAGGAAAGCAAAAATAGGCAGGATTAGGAGACTAGGAGGAGAGAGGAAGAAGTGGGGAGGACTTACAAGATGTAGGACCAACAGAGTAGAACCCCAGGTTCTCTCTCTGGTAAGCCATGACCATGTGCAAACTTAGATTAATAAAAATGGGTTAATATTTAAGACAGAGCTAGCCAATAAGAAATGCTAATAACAGGCCAATAGCTTTGTATCTAATACAGTATCTCTGTGTGTTATTTGGGGCTGGAGAGTCTATGGGACCAGGCTGGTGGGAAAAACTGCTTATAATAGGAGGGCCTAGGTCCTACCCTAAATCATGTGATAAACTTTGATGATCCCCCGAGGAAGGCCTCACCCTCCCTGGGATCAGAAAGGGGATGGGATTGGGGGCTGGTGGGGGGCATGGAAGGATAGGAGGTAGAAGGAACTGGATTGATATGTAAAATAAGATTGTTTCTAATATAAATAAAAAATACTTTTAAAACTGAATTTTAACAACAGAGTTTAATACAATATATGCACAGAGACTCCTATGTCCCATTAGAAATGAGAAAATAAGTTTTATATATTTTACTTTATAAATTATCAAATGCTAATGAAGTCATCAGCAAAAAGCATAGGAACTTGCTTCAAAGGTGTTATCTAAATTTGAGTTATGTTAAGCATCCAAATTATCACTAGCTCCCAACATGTTCAGACTAATGAGTTTATGAATCTAAAGTACTGCTGAAAATTGGAGCAAAAGACAACAGAAAATTAGTATCCTTACAGCTAAAACTATTAAAGATGGACTGTGATGTTGAAGTATAAATCACAGAAACGCTTTCCCCCCTCTCAATTGTTGCTTTCAGTGATAGTTTTAAACCAGCAATAGAAAACTAACTAGGTCATTCAGTAACCCCAATGTCAGCCATGTACAAGAGGGACTCTGTGTCAAACAAGGTGAAAAATAAGAACTGACACCCACAAGGTTGTCCTCTCATATCCAAACATACATCATAGCCTGTCCATACAGAAACACACAGGGGGTGGGGGAAAAGATTTTAAATGAATAACAGATGAAAGGAAATAGCAGACATTTCTAGACTACTCTACCCCCACAACTGTGAGTAATGAAGTACATCCTAAACTAGTTAGCTAAAAAAGAAAGAGAAAACTACAATGAAGGAGAGCTTAGACAACAGCCCAATAAATAGAGAAGCCTCACTATCCTGCAAATGAGAAAACTCCAGATCAACAAAATGGTACAGGCAGTAAAAGCACTTGTGGAACATGCCTGAAGATTTGAACTCAGTCTTTGAAATCCATGGCAGAAAGAAAAGTTAACTCCTGAAAAGCTGTCACTGATCTCTACATACACATCATGGCACATACACACACACCACTCACAATTTTAAAAGAGTCTAACAAGCACAAAGATGTTCTGAGAGATCACAAAAGACCCACGTTAAGGATATGTGCCTGGCTAGTCTTGTGTCAACTAGACATAAGCTAAAGTTAACTGAAAGGAGGGAACTTCAATTGAGAAAACACCTCCATAATATCCAGATATGATGTGTTTTCTTAATTATTGATTGGTGAGAGTTACCCACCCATTGTGGGAGATGCCATCCCTGGGATGGTGGCCCTGGGTTCTATAAGAAAGGAGGCTGAGAAAGCCATGAGGAGCAAGCCAGTAAGCAATGTTCATTCATGGACTGCATCAGTTGTTGATTCCAGGTTCCTGTCATGTTTGAGTTTCTGTCCTGACTTACTTTGATGGGAAATGTGATGTGGAAACATAAGCCAAATAAACCCTTTGCTCCCCAAGTTGTTTTTGGTCATGATGTTTGATGACATCAATAGTAACCCTAAATAAAACAGGATATTTCACAATGCTTCAAGGCCTACAGCCCTGTCATCACCTGCATGAAATCTTTGATCCTCTTCTCATTGAAACTCCTGGCAAGGACCACAATTCCACGCTGCAACAGGTAACGAAGGGCAACCAATGCTGGTGTTTGTTTGTACTTTTTTGCCATGGCACAGATAACTGGATCATCTAAGAGAACTGGACTGTTTTGGTCCACCCTGGAAGACAAGGTAAAATACTGAACTCCAGAAAGTCAAATTAAGCCTTAATAACAGAAGGCTTACAAAACAGGCATATACTCCAGACCATAGATATGCAACTGTTCTCCTTGGGCCAGTAAAGTCAATATCATCTCAGGTCTTCTCATAAATTTACATACCAGCCCCTCTACATCAGTTGAGAGATAGATCTAGAAAGGTTTTATAGAACTAAATATATTTCAACAATGATATTTGAAATTCATTGTTCTCTTTGTTACCTACCATAATGGGTCTCGTGAACTTCCCAGTGTACAGTAGGCAACCATAGCGATGTCATTTGACTTGCAATATTCCAGCATTTTGCTCTGGTTGAGATAAACATGACATTCTACCTGATAGGAAACAATCAGATTATATAAGATTTTGTATCAATACAAAAGGGAGAGATGACAAAATTAAACAACTTAAAATTTTAAAAAGTATACATGAAATTTGAAGTAAAAAAATAACATTAAGTAGTAATAACTTTAACAAAATAAATTTCATTCTTTTTTCTTGTAGAAAACTTTTTTAATATATATCTGAGAAGAAATAATTCTATGGACCAGTTCTTGAATGCTGAATAATCTTATCCAACTCATAAAGCCTTGGCAGATTTTATAGTTGGAATGGGGAAAGTATAATTGTAAATTTGCATACTAAATGAGAGTAGAAACAAGAATTTAGCCACAGACTCATGATGTAATTGTGAAGACAAAAGAGCCAGTCTGATAGGATCTATATTAAGGTAGGAAATCCATTAAGTCCATCATAACACAGAGAAAAGAGAAAAAGAGTAACCAAATCAATTTGTTCATGCTCTCTTTCATGGTGACAGTTCAGTTAGAACATAGGCAAACTATAAATGTTTATATTATCTCATATAAACTTGGCTTTTATCTTGATGTGTCAAAAAATTATAGCAAAGTATCATGTAAGAAAAATAAAAGGGGCTAGTGAAATGACTTAGCTGCTTAAGGCACTTGACATCAAGCCTACTGACCTGATTTCAGTTCAGTTCCTGTGACCCACATTTTGGAAAGAGAGAACCAACCAATTCCTATAATCCTCTAACTTCCACATATGTGCTGGTGTGTGTGTGTGTGTGTGTGTGTGTGTGTGTGTGTAAACAATTAATTTGCTGTCAGAAAGCAGAAAGGAGTGGGCTGTAATGTGTGTGGTCAGGCAAGAGGTCAGCTCAAAGTGCTCTGCCGAAAATTTCCATCATGATTTTGCCGTAACTAAAATCTAGATGAATTTGATTGCATTCAGTTAATTTCCCTATAGCTATGACTATGGTTAATATATCTAAAATCAGATGTGTCAGAACCAAGAGTACAACAATCTAACATTCATGTTTGTACAATCAATCTTTTACTGTGGCTCCATCATTCTTTACAGCCCACACTGTCTTTCTAGGACCTTTCTTTCTGTACACAGTTCCCTACACAGAATCTTTCTTCATTCAATTGTTTCTCATAGATAGAGAAGTACATCTTCTTCTCAATGGCCACACTATAACTTCTTCCTCCTTTGTTTGCCTTTTCCTGATATATTTTTATGTCCAATTGGCCCTAAGTTAGCCCCAATGTTCTACTGTCTTTCTCATGGACTTCTATGTCCTCTCAGAAAGATTCCACTTTTAAAATTTCTGCCCCATGAAGGTAAAATAAACAGGACTAGACAACAAATAGATACAAGTCAGTGGTACAAGAAGAACAAATGTAAGCATAAAAGGCCAAGGAGCAGGAAGGACTCACCTGATTGCACACAGGCTTGTACTTGAGTCCTGGTTTGTTCAGGATCATCTCCAACTGCCTGCGGTTAAAGTTGGACACCCCAATGGACTTGGTCAGTCCTGCATCTTTACACTTCTCCATGGCCTGATATGAAAGAGATAGTGAAGGATACATTGTGCAGTTGTTCTTGAAAGCAGGGACACTTTCAAGAAATGCTGGCATTGACTATCTAGAAAGAAGTAATTTGTGGAGAAAATAAGGAACAGAGAAAGTAAAAACAAACAATGCCCGTGTCCTTAAGAAATAGGTGACATGAGAGGCCAGGCCAGCATCATAAAAACCAGGTAAGCCATCAACCCAACCAACTCCCACCTGTCCCACCAGCATAAGGTCAGCTCCCCTCCTCTCCTTGCCATATGATCCCTGCTGACACATCTGGCTGAAACCTTCCAATCCCCAGAGGCCAGGTCAGCAACTTGAACACCAGGTAAAACTCTCCACCCCATCCCTGCCTGCACAACATAACCCCAACCACACCACCTCTCCTCATCATCACTTCCTAGCCCACACCTCTGGATGCAGTCTTCCACTCCCCAGAGGCCAGACCAGCACCATGAACTCACTGCCCCTCACCCCACTTGTGTTTGACAAGCATAGCTCCAACTATCCCTCCTCTCCTTATCATCATATCTTGGTCCATACCTCTGGTGGAAGCCTTCTACCCTATCAGAAGCCAGACAAGAATCTTGATCCCCAGAGAACAGACCAGCTTCTGAACCGCAAAGACCAGGCTTACTCCCTAAAAACCTGGCAGAAGCCTCCTACCGCACTAGCAGCCAGGCCAGCATCTGAACCCCAGAGGAACAGAACCAGATAAGATGTCATGAAGAAGGTGTTTACCAGCTGTAGGTGTTCCTTGCTAGAGTTTATTGGGTTGCTTATGTAAACTATCATATCATCTGCAAATAGAGACAGTTTGACTTCTTCCTTTCCAATTTGGATTCCCTTGATCTCCTTTTGTTGTCTTATAGCTTTAGTTAGAACTTCAAGTACAATATTGAAGAGATATGGAGAAAGAGAGAAGCCTTGTGTTGTTCCTGATTTTAGAGGAATCGGCTTAAGTTTCTCTCCATTCAGTTTGATGTTGGCAGTTGGTTTGCTGTATATTGCTCTTATTATGTTTAGGTATGTTCTTGTTATCCCTGATCTCTCCAAGACCTTTATCATGGAAGGGTGTTGAATTTTGTCGAAGGCTTTTTCAGCATCTAGGGAGATAATCATATGGTTTTTCTTTTTCAGTTTGTTTATATTGTGGATTACGTTGATAGATTTTCATATGTTAAACCATCCCTGCATTCCAGGGATGAAGCCTATTTGGTCAGAGTGGATGATTTCTCTGATGTATTCTTGAATTCGGTTTGCCAGTATTTTATTGAGTATTTTTGCATTGATGTTCATCAGGGATATTGGTCTGTAGTTTTCTTTCTTAGTTGTGTCTTTGTGAGGATTAGGTTGTGCTCAACATCCTTAGCTATCAGGGAAATGCAAATCAAAACAACTTTGAGATACCATCTTACTTCTGCCAGAATGGCTAAAATTAGAAACACCAATTAGGACTCATGCTGGAGAGGATGTGGAGAAAGGGGAACACTCTTTCACTGCTGGTGGGAGTGCAAACTCATACAGCCACTTTGGAGATCAGTATGGTGGTTCCTCGGGAAAATGGGAATTAGTTTACCACAGGACCCAGCAATCCCCCTCTTAGGCATATACTCAAATCATCCACAACTATGCAACAAAGACATCTGCTTAACTATGTTCATAGCAGCACTATTTGTAACAGCAAGAACCTGGAAGCAACCTAGATGCCCCTCAATTGAAGAATGGATAAAGAAGATGTGACATATCTACACAATGGAATACTACTCTGCAGAAAAAAATAATAGAATCTTGAAATTCGCAGGCAAGTGGATGTCACTTGAAGAAACCATCCTGAATGAGGTAACCCAGTCACAAAAAATGGAACATAGTATATACTCACTCATATATGGATTTTAGACCTAGAGCAAAGGATCATCAGGCTATAATTCACACCACCAGAGGAACTAGGATACAAGGTGTATTCTAAGAGATTCATATAAAGTCCCTCACAGAAGTGGGAAGGAACAAGTCCCCCACAGCACAGGGGAAGTGAGGAGGGCAGTGAATGGAGAGAGAAGTAGGAGAAAGAGAGTGGGAGGAGAAGAAAACACGTGCGACTAGGAAGATTGAGTCTGGGTAGGAATAGAAGACAGGAGAGATGGAGAGGTCAACTAACATATAAAGGCAGACCTATAAGAATTACACCCAACTTCTTTAAAATCCAGAAGGGCCTAGACAGATAGATGTCTTGCAAACTCTTAAGAAACCACTAATGCCAGCCTAGACTAATATGCCTAGCAAAACTTTCAATAAGTATAGATGGAGAAAACAAGATGTTTCATGACAAAGTCAAATTTGAACAATATCTATCTACAAATCCAGCCCTTCAGAATGTACAAGAAGGAGAATTTCTGCCCAAAGAAGTTAACTACACCCACATAAGCACAGACAATAGATAATCTCACACCAACAAAATCCAAAGAAGATAAACACACACACACACACACACACACACACACACACACACACACACACTCCCAACAACAGCATGATAATAGGAACAATCAGTGGTCTTTAATATTTCTCAGTATCAATGGGCTCGATTCACCAATAAAAAGACACAGGCCAACACAATGGCTACAAAAACAGATCCATATTTTTGCATAAAAAAAATACACCTCAACATCAAAGATAGACATTACCTCAAATAAAGGACTGGAAAAAGATTTTCCAATCAAATGGACCTAACATGCACTCTAATGTAGCTATCCTATACCTAACAAAATAAACTTCAAACTAAGACTAATTGAAAGAGATGGAAAACATCTCATACTCTTCAAAGAAAAAACCACCAAGATTATCTCAATTCTGAACATCTATAACACACATGCAAGGGCACCCCAATTTGTAAAAGAAACATTACTAAAGTTTAAATCACATATAGAACCCTACACATTAATACTGGGATACTTCAACACTCCCATTTCACCAAAGGACAGTTCATCCAGACAGAAACTTATCATAGAAATAACAGTCCTAAATAGTAGGACACAAATGAACCTAACAGGTATCTACAGAACATTTCACCCAGACAGAAAATAATATACCTTCTTCTCAGCATCTGATATAACCTTGTCCAAAATTGACCACACACTCTGATAAGAGTCTTACAGAAATCTGGAACACAAGGGACATACCTAAATGTAATAAAAGCAACATACAGCAAGCCTATATCCAACATCAAATTAATTGGAGAGAAACTCAAAACAATTCCATTAAAATCAGGAAAAAAACAAGGCTATCAACTCTCTCCATGTTATTCAATATAGTACTTGAAGTTCTAGGTAGAGCAATAAGACAACAGAAGGAGCTCACAGGGATACAAATTAGAAAGGAAGAAGTCAAAGTACCATTGTTTGCAGATGATATGAATATATATATATATATGAATATATGTATATATATATATATGCAACCACAAAAATTATGCCAGGAAACCCCTACAGCTAAAGGGATAAATACCTTTAGTGAAGTGACTGGATACAAGATTAACAACAATAACAAAATTCAGTAGCCCTCCAATATACAAATGATAAATTGGCTGAGAAAGAAACTAGGGAAGCAACACCCTTCACAATAGCCAAAAATTATATAAGTGTCTTGGTGTAACTCTAACAAAGCAAGTGAAAGATCTATATGACAAAAACTTCAAGTCTTTGAAGAAAGAAATTTGGGGCAGATATCAAAAGTTGGAAAGATATTCCTTGCTCATGATTCAGGATAAACATAATAAAAATGACCATCCTACAAAAAGCAATCTACAAATTCAACCCCATGCCCATTAAAATTCCTACACAATTCTTTAACTTGAAAGAACAATACTCAACTTCATGTGAAAAAAAATCCAGGATAGCTAAAACAATTGTGCACAATAAAAGAACTTCTAGAAGTATCATCATTCCCAATCTCAAGGTCTACTACAGGACTGCAGTAACAAAAACCATATGGTATTGACCTAAAAACAGATATGTGTATCAAAATGTAATCAAGTTGAATACCCAGACATAAATCCACACACTTGTGGATACCTGTTTTCAACAAAGAAGCCAAAATTATACAATGAGAAAAAAGAAAGCATCTTCAGCAAATGGTGATAGAGTAACTGAATGTCAGCATGTAGAAGTATACAAATAGGTCATTATATATCACCCTACACAATATTAGATGTCAGCATGTAGAAGAATGCAAATAATAGAGCAATATGTATCACCCTACACAAAACTTAAGTACAAATAGATCAAAGACCTCAACATAAATCCCGATACATTGAACCTAATATAAGAGAAAATGGGGAATCACCTTGAACACATTGGCACAGGAAACAACTTCCTGAATAAAACACCAATAAGGCAGGAGTTAGGATCCACAATTAATAAGTGGGACCTCATAAAACTGAAAAGCTTCCATAAGGCAAAGGACACCATCAACAGGACAAAATAGCCACCTACCGAAAGGGAAAAGGTCTTCACTATACCCACATCTAACAGAGGGCTGATTTCCAAGATATATTTTAAAAACTCAAGAAACTAGACATCAGAGAAACAATCCAATTATAAAATAGGGTACAGATCTAAACATAGAATTCTCAACAGAAGAATCTCAAATGGCTGAAACAATTAATGAGATGTTCAGCATCCTTACTGATGTGGAATAATGTTCTTGTCCATTGTAAAGGTTTGTCCCTCATATTGATTTAATAAAATGCTGGACTCATAGTAGCTCACAGAGACTACACCAACATCCAGAGAGTCTGCATGGTAGTGACCTAGGTGTTCTACATATATGTGACAGTTCTGTAGCTTCGTTTTCTTGGGGGACACCTAACAGTGGGAGCAGGGGCTATCTCTGATTCTGCTGGCTTTGAGGGATCTATTCCTTATAATGGGTTGCCTTGGCCAGTGTTAACACAAGTTTAGGCGATTAATCTTACCACACCTTGATATGCCTTGTTTTTGCAAAGCCCATGGGAGGCCTGCCCTTTTTTGACTACAAGAGGAGAAAGTAGGTATAGGAGAGGCATAGAGGAGAGGGGTTGGAGGGACTTGGAGGCAAGGGAGGACAGGGAAATTGTGGCCTGGATGTAAAAGGAAAGAAGGAAAGAAGGAAGAAAGGAAGGAAGGAAGGAAGGAAGGAAGGAAGGAAGGAAGGAAGGAAGGAAGGAAGGATGGTTGAAAAGAGATTTCTAAACCTTTGGCCTCAGTTCTTCCCCATTCCTATTATTTTCCAGCAATGAATTCTTCCAATAACTCCATCAAAACCCCTTCTTATGTAAGCTACAAATGTCTAGATTGAGCAATGTATATTCCATTCTCACAGGTGGAGTCATACCTGATTGATCCTCTTAGATTCCCTTCTGTGGCCTTCTCTCACAGGACTTACCTCCCATGTGTCACGGAGATCCACTGGGTCTACCAACAGATTTCCATGTTCGTCCTTTGGTATACTCTGATCTCCAGGCTGGAATAGAATCATTCCTTTTAAAGAATTCACTGAAGTCATGTTACCATATTTGGTTAGACTGCCAGGCCCTTCAGAGTCTGGGCCATGAAGCCTTCCTAAGTAAGTAGGATAATATTTTAGATGCCTTGCATTTGGAGTGAAAAAGGACTAAAGTTTAAAGATTGGTATCCTTTAATCTCTTCTATTTTACTTATGCTTAAAAAAATACTTTTCTCCCATGGAAGGCCTCACTCTCCCTGGGAAGCAAAAAGGGGAAGGGATGGGGGTTGGGAGGGGAGCAAGGAAGGAGGGGAGGGTGAGGGAACTGGGATTGACATGTAAAACAAGCTTGTTACAAATTTAAACTTAAAAATATTATCATAAAAAATGTTTTTCTCTAAGTCCTAACAGTGTTTTGTATGACTTCAGTTACTATTTCAGCCCCTGTATTTCCCTATAGGAAAATGCCTATCCTTTTGGTAAATCCAATAATTATATGGACTTGGTATTTGGCAATAATTGATTATGATTTGGGTAAAACATTCCTTATCACAGTGAACATATGATTATATAAAGGCAAGCACAATTAAACTGGGCCATACACAGACTTTCTTTTCAGGATTAATGTAGGTTAGATGCAGGTTAGAAAGCCAGAGTAGCTCTCAAATTTTACCAGTCATGAATTTTGAATTGTCACAAGACCATATCTTCTACCAATAGCAAATGAGAGCCCCAAACTAAATAAACAATATGTAGAGATAAGGAGTGAAGAAATTATTTCTGAAGCTGATGCTATTCATACCTTTAAATGTGGTCATGGCTTGGACTTCCCAGTTATGTAATGTAATAGCTTGAGTTTTTCACATAATTTTATAGCAAGAATTCTGCATAACACAGTTATTAAGGGCTAAATGCCATCTAAAAAGCCCCACCACCATGAAACTATCAAGAGAAATAATGTTCAATTACCAAATCTCCAAGGGCTGGTAGTATGAGAACCAGAGGTTCAAGTTTGCTTTCTATTGCACCATGACCCAAAAAAAAAATGGGGAAGAAGGGGTTTATTTGATGTCTTATACTTCCAGATCACCGTCCATCATTGAGGAAAGTCAGGGTAGTGATTCAAACAGAAATTGAAGCATAAAATATGGGAAAATGTGACTCACAGGTTCACTGCCTTCCTCATCCGTCAGGTGGCTTCATTATACAGGCCAGGACCACCTGCAGAGGTATGGCACTTCCCACAGTGTGTAGGTCCTCTCACATCAATCCACAGTCAAGATATTTCTCAAAGAAATGGCCTCAAGCCCCAACTGGGACCCCCCCAAGATGACACTGGGCCTTGTCAAGTTGACAGACACCCACCCAGACTGACTACACCAGATCTGCTTTCAAAATGCAATTAATTGTGAGAAATTATGTGACCTCATTGTAGAGCATATGTATGGCAGTTTTACTAATCTCAAAAATTGCATGTAAATACCTTCAACAGACTAAGAGGAACTGAGGAGATGAAGAGGAGGTAAAGCATTGGACTTGAAAGCCTAAGGACCCGAGTTTGACCATCAGAACAAACAGAAGACAGTTTAAAGCCAGGTGTAGTGGTACATGTTTTCAATCCTAGGACTGGGAAGTGGATACAGATAGATTCCTGGGGCTAATTTTCCAGTCAATCCAGCCTATTCAGAATTCTAGGTCAGTGGAAGGCCTTGTCTCAAGCAAATTGTGGATGGCATCTAAAGAACAGTACCAGTGACTGTTTTCTGTCTTTCATATGAATAAGCACACACATGCATGTGCAGCCACACACAAGTGTACTTGCATATACATGAACACACATACACACACACACACACATATACACATACACACCAAAACTATGCCTAAATTATAGTTATTGTACATTCTCCAATTTTCTAATACAGAAAACCACAAAATTACTTTAACTATAAGATGAGGCTTGGGAATTATTGCTTAGGATTTTCATCAGAATAACCCATACATTCATTCAAGAATATAAATCTTATATTTCCACATAACTGTTGGCTATATATGGGCATCCCTAGTAAAATAATTTTGAACACAGAGATTGCTCACCTGCAAAGGTAATGGGAAATGAATAATATACAGATCAACATAGTCCAGTTGAGCTTTCTTCAGTGACATTTCCAAGCAAGATCGAACCAATTCTGGCCGATGGAAAGTGCCCCAAAGCTGCATAAGTTAACGAATAAAACTTTAAACTCAGAGTTCATCCACATTTGTTGAATTACTTCGTCTAACAAGGAAACATTTTTCTACAGTTGGAAAAAGTCCCTGCTTTTTTTCTCTTAATTGCTTTTTCACTTATAAACTTTATTGTGTGTATAGGCCAATGCCTTCACTGAGCTATGTAACTTGAACACCATTATATATTTGGTTATTGTCAGTTTCATTACTGAACATGGGATGGAATTTTTAAAGAGAAAGCGTTGTTTTCTCTAATAATAATGCTGAATTTACAAAGTAATTGGTCTAAATTGGTCTAAATCAATCATCCATTCAACCACACAGGAAGAGCTAGTACTACTCATTCTATAGATGATATATATAGATATAGATATAGATATAGATAACTGAAGGCTGTAGGAAACCCCTTTTGGAGGCATGTTAGTATGTGCTGAGTAAACTTTATCTGTGCCCTTTATGAACAAAAACTCCTGAAAAGAAGTTGTGTCTGCAGAGACTGACTGATTGGAATTTCAATATTGTGGTGAGGTTGGAATGTTGCAGGTCCAGAGGTTTATCATAGGTTAGGTCTCTGAAACAGCCATTGCTTTTTTATCTCTGTGTCAGAGCATCTTGTGACTAATAGATAAAAACCGTTGAGACTATATTAACTTATTAGACTACTAGCTTCCACCAACCCAAAACCTAAGAATGTCATCAATAGCATGTTAAGCCTATACAAAATTTCACTCATCTTAATGTACTTGCCTCTCTGGTATACACACCAATGTATTTTAAATGTGCATTGATTTGTTCTGTAAAAATATAAAACTTCATGAAACTACGTTAGTGTTAGAACATAGAATTTGGGGTAATCTAAATGTGTGTTCCTAAGCCATGGTTACTCAAAATAGCTCCAAAATAAAGTATCTCTTATTTGCTTTAATATTAGAACTATGGTTCTTAAAGACTCTATATCCTGCATATAATAGACTAGCCTTCTATGTCCTCACAGAACTTTATCTACTACCCTGGGACAAAAAGACTCCACCTGCCCAAGAAACATCTCAGGCAAGATACCTCCTCTTTTTCCCCTCCTCAACAATGAAGCTTAGGGTCCTTAGGGTCTGAAGCATTGTGCAAACAGACCCTATCTGTCCATGACCTTCTGTCTTCTGAGCACATTGGAGATAATGATGAGAAATGTTCTGTTCTTCATTGTTTCTCTCCCTGAGTTAACTGAAATAAAAGCTCCACAGAATGCCAGTAAAGGCACCCCAGAGCAGTATAACCTACAGTCCCCTGGTTCTTTTAAGTCTCAAATTCTACTTCAATTCCTCAGCAGTGGTCACTGTTGAGTCATAGTCAAGCTCAGTCTGATTTTACATTTCAGAACAGTATATTTACATGAAAGTCATAAATTTTAACTCCATAGTGATAACAAAGAAATAATTATCTATTTTTATCTTAACTTTAATATGAATGTGTGTGAATAAGAGTTATAACAATAAGTAATGATGCACGAAACATGTATTGATCCAAATGCATATTGTATGCTCAGTTCAGCTACATTAAATATGCTCACAAGTATTCCACATACAAAATACCTTTGAAGTATAGAATATATCTTTTCTCTTCACGGTACCATCTGCAATCTTGCTTCTAATGGCCTGTCCTACTTCTTCTTCTATTTTGTACATATAAGCAGAATCAATATGGCGGAACCCAGCATCTATAGCTATTTTGGTAGCCTTGATAAGTTCATCCTTAGGAACCTAAAGGAGCAATCAAAAATAGTATTTGTGTAATGAAAGACATTTCAAACACAAACAATGGCTTTCCAGGGAATCAACTTATGCTTTGAGTTGTTCTGTATGTGTATCAACAAACCCATTCAAATTTCCCTGGAACCCTTCCAATCAGCCCCAGAGGTAGGTGTCCCCCAATATGCTCAGTCCACATCAATGACTGAATCACTGGCACTAGGAACCCTGTAAAATATCTGCCAATTCAGTGATTTGATCAAAAGACTCACATGCATAATTGAGGCAATACAGGAAGATAGGAAAACTTACAGGGATGGGAATACAGGAAGAAAATGGAGCCTATTCCCCTGGAGTCTGGTTGAAGCCTTTAACCAGCTGAGAATCAAGAATTCTAGCACAGTTAGAAATGTGTGCTGTGTTTGCTATAATATTACAGCACTTCTTTCATATTCAGATATATAGAGTTAAAACAAGTTTCTTTGATGCCCATCTTCCTTTCTGACATAATTGGTGTTAACAGGAGCATTGTGTCTCGTGGTCATGAAAAATCCTAAATAAACAAACCATTTTAAATGCCATATTCTGTAGGTCTTTGAAAGGTTTGAAGAATATCCATCCATCTCAAATATATCTCTGTATATCTAGAAAACTACTAATACTGTAAGTTTTTACTATTAAAATGACTATAGTCTGTATTTTGTAATTATACATTACATTTTTAAATGAGCTGCATAAACAAGATACCTAAACAATGGTAGAAAATATACATATAACAAAACTGACCTTAAAATTTTATCAATAAACTAAAATCCATACCAATGCAAAGTATTCATTTCTATACCATATTCCCTTTTTTCTTTAGAAAGAGATTGTGACCATTAACCATTTATAGCCAACCCCCTTTAAATCAAAACAAACATTTATAAACAATATTTGGGAATATGGACACAGTTCTCTCCAAACTGCTTCTTGCTGATTTTTGGGTACTGTCAATACAAAGGGGATCGTGAAAACCTAGAGCCCTGGCCAAATCCTGAGTGTAGTAGTCTGTGAGGCTGCATTGTCTCAGCTATTTAGGATGTTGAATCATCTGGGCCACTGCTTCAGGGGGTCTTGCTCAATCAAACCATATTAGTAGGGAAAGAATCCATAGCTTTTCATCTTCAGTGGAAATAAAAGCAGAACTTCTTTTCAAAAGTAACATGTCCTTAAATTTAAACTTTGAAGTCAAGGCATTTTCTTTATTATTATTATTATTACTATTATTATTTTACATGTTAATCCCAGTTCCCTCTCCCTCCCTCTCTTCCTCTTACATATTGACCCAGCTCCCTCTCCCTCCCTCCCTTCCTCTCTCCCTCCCCCCACTCCACATGTAGAGTGATGCCTTCCAGGAGGGGTCATCTAAGTCTGTCAAGTCATTTGGAGTAGGGACTAGGCCTTCCCTCCTGCCTCTAAATTAAGGGAGAATCCCTCCATGGGATACTCGCAAAGTCCTTTTGGGCATCAGGGATACATCCTGGTTCCACTGTCAGTGGTCCCTTTGACTGTCCAGGCCTTCTAACTGAGACCCATATTCAGGGGGTCTGAGTCAGTCCAATGCTGGATTCCCAGTCTGGGGGCCCATTAGCTCCTCCTTGTTCAGGTCAGCTGTCTCTGTGGGTTTCTGTAGCCTAGTCTTGTCCTCCTCACTATCTGGATTCCAATTAGGCTGTGTTTAGTTGTGGGTGTCTGCTTCTGTTTCCATTAGCTACTAGATTGGCTACTACAGATTGGTGCTACAATGTGGAGCTACAATAGATGGCTAATACATTTATCTGTCTGTTGGTTCAGGACCAGAACAAACATAAAGGAGAGAGAACAACATTCAATATTTTCCTTTCACAGTCCATTGAAAACCTATCTCATGATTGACTTGCAAAACAGGAACTTTAAAAAAAATCTTGTTTTGCTGAATGATGATTCATCAAGATACATTTTCATCATAGGTTTCATGATGAAGTGGGTTCAGCAGTCATTTCCAATTTATCTTTTGCCTTAGATCATTAATGAAGTCTAAAAAGTGAGTTATGTTAGGATTTGACCACTATTTTTTTACTTATGGAATTTTCACAGCTTAACAAAACAGGAATAATTAAACAGACTGATACTATGCCAAATATGAATCTCACCTGCACATGCATTTGTACAGGTCACAGAAATAATGCTATTTCTTATTAACACCTGATTTTGATTTCCCTTCACCCATGTCAAGTTGCTCACAACTGTCTATAACCCCAGTTCCATGGAATACCACACCTTTTGGCCTCAAGGTCTCCCTCCCATACCCCCTGCATACATACATACATACATACATACATACATACATACATACATACATGCATACATACATACATGCATACATACATTGAAATAAATATAAATCTTTCAAAAATACCAACAATGATGACATTAAATGTACATGCAACACAAAATGCTGTATTTAATACAAATACAATGAAATAATAATGCTATGAATTATTAAAACAGTTACATTAACCCCCAAATGTCACATAGAAATATCTATTTACATAAATATTTGGTCTGGTCCTATTGTGAGAGAAAATGTTCTTAAGAATAAAACACGCATCATCTCTACTATCTAAAAGTATTAATAGTATCCTTATGTTCAATGTGGCAACTGGCACCTTTAACTTCACCATTTTTCATTTAAAAATGCAATAAGAGAAATTGTATACTTTAAATAGTGTTCTATATGCATAATTTATAGGTATGTTACATAATTTTAAGAAAAAACTATTTATGAAGAAAATAATCAAAATGAGTTTTTTATGATACATGGATCTGATTACCAACAAAGTAATAAGAATTAAAAAGAGTTACAGATTTTTTCTAATTTTTTAATTATTTGTGTGTGTGTGTGTGTGTGTGTGTGTATGTGTGTGTGTGTGTGTTGTACGTCTGAGATCTGAAGAAGATCTATCTATGAGTGTCAGTTCTTTCCTTTCAGCATTTGGATTCTAGGGATCAATCAAACTCAAGTCATCAAAGACCCCACACATTTTTCCAGGAATTGATTTGCCTGGTGTAGCCAATATTCCTAAAATATTATAATATTCTTCTTTGACAGTATTTTTTCCATTAAAATTTCTTTTCATCTTATGCATGTGATTGTTTTGTCTATGCATCACTTGTCTGGTGCCAGCAGGGACAAGATGAGAATGTTGAATGGCCCAGAACTGGGATTATAGACATTTGTAAGGCACCATGTAAGTGCTAGGAATTTAAACCAATTCCTCTGCAAGAATAGCCAGTGGCCTTAACTACTGAGCAATTTTTCCAGCTCCAAGTTTTCCCTCTGGACTCCCTTGAAAACACCCTTGTCCTTATCTAAGTTGTACTGACCTCTACAGGTTTACTGAGACTGTTGCTGTTGTAATATATTTGTTGTTTACCTCTCTTTCAATTTATGTATGCTATGAAGTAAAGTTCCTATCAAAAGAGGTCAAGATATCTCTGTGATACAGGAGAAAACTGCAACTCAAGATTTAAGAGCTGGTGCTTGCCACTCCCTGAATAAATATATGATAAAATCAGAATGGAGACATTTTCCCCATGAGAACCCCCTGCAGTATTTTGATTCAAATGTCATGAATATGATCATGGAGCAAGAATTTAGAGTTGTTTTGTTAAAGTACAGTACACTCATAAAATGTTGTGTTTGCTTTTTAGGTATAGTAAAAGTGGAAAGCAACACTTATTTCATCACACATCTGGAATTTGTGCTGTGGCACTCAGCTCCTGCTCCTCGGCAGAACACAATAAGCTCATCACTTTCTATAAACTCTATCAAGAATATTTTGTCTGGACCATATCTACCAGAGAGGAGTAATTATTTGAATCAGAAATAATCCATGTCACTAATCCCTTTGCAATCAAAGTCAACAACAGTAACACTGATTGCTGCTTTCCACTCATTGCCAAACAGGCTGAAACTAATGGATAAACAGAACCCAGAATAAACAGTACTGTACACATGATAAGTCCCCAAGAAACAATAACAAGACTGCCTTCTCTATGACATGTGGATAGCTCTGATCTGGAGATTCTGTGACTCTCAATCAAACAGAAGAAAATCTGAAAGTCCGTTCAGTTGCCACACATCCTTAATGCTTTTTTATAAACCCTTATACCCAAGACACAATGATTACCTTATCAGGTACAGTGGTTCCAAACCCCAGTACAGGGATGAAGTGACCATCATTTAGTGCCACACGCAGAGATGCAGAATTCATAGCTTGTTACTCATACAACTAAGTCCTTGAGTCTTCTGACTGCACAGGGTACAGACCAGAAAAATGTGACAGCTCCTTAAATATCTAGTGGAGAGTTAAACAGTGGCATGTGGGAGGAGCCACTTAAAGCAATAGTCCACAGAGAAGAGAGCTAGAGGCTGTTTACATTTGTATGAAAGTGAACTCCAATAAGTTACTAAAGGGTGAAAATGAAACCATAAATTTCTTGTAGAACAAAAGATTCTATTTACAGTCCACAGTAACTTTTTTAAATGTTAAAAAAAAAAAAAGGGAAACTGGTGGATAGTAACTGATCGATCATGTGTTACCTAGAAAGTAACTCCTATTGATGGGCTCTCATTTTCACTTGAAAATGGTATCTATTCCTCTTTGCTTCCTAAACAGTAAGATTCTCATTGCACCTTTTCCACACAGACACATGGTATCTTGATCATACTTGCCTCTCCCATGGTCCTTTTTGTTTCCTCCCTGCCCCCTATATATTCCCTTTTATACTTTAATGTCTTCAAAAACTAGACACCATCTGTGCAGAACACATCACCTTTTTGCCTATCTAAGTTGGTATGTTTATGTTTAACAAGCTGATTTTCACCTAGCTTCATGCATTTTGGTGCAAATAAAATGATTTTGTTCTTCCGTATGTATAAGTCAAGCTCCATTTCATATATACGTACATATATACACATATACATGTATGCATACATACATATATACATACATACATACATATGTCACATTTTCTTTTCTCATTCATCTACTGATTGGCCCTAGACTGATTCTATATATTGACCAATGTGAAAAGTACCTTTAAAAAACATAGATGTGTAGATGTTTTTATTATACTGACTTTGATTCTTTTAGATATATACCCAGGAACAGCACAACTAGACCAAAAGGAAGTTCTTTTTTTTTTTAGTTTTCTGAAGCTATTCATACTGATTTCCATACTGGCTGAAGTAACTGACATTCTCACCAGCACTATAGAAGGAGCCCCACCATCTCCCTTCAACAGCAGCTTTGATTTGCATTTCCTTGATTGCTATAAACACTGAACATCTTTATATTCTTTATTTGTTGTTCTAGAGCTGTTTGCTTTTTTTCATTTATGGTTAAATTGATTTTTCAATTTTTCAAATGTTCTGGATACTTATACTTTAGAAAATTAATAGCTGGCAAAGATTCCCTTGTATTTCATAGGCTGTCCCTTCACTTTGGTAATTGTTTCCTTTTCCTATTGCTTGGATTTTTCCATATTTTCTATAATCTATTCTGAGTTAGGAAGGATATCTTTTCTATTTAATGTAAGGATCTTCTTAGTAACCAGCCTGCTCTTCAGCACTTCTTCCTCTACTCCACTCAGAGAAAAGAAAACAAACTAAAGTAACAATACAGTATTTTAAAAAAGGAGGGAGCTCAGTTTGCATTGTTTCACCAGTATGTGATAATACATGCAACTAAGGCTCTGATACTGGTACAGCCACACATTCCCTTGATGGTGTGGGATGGCAGGACTTCTTGCTACACTAGCAGTTGCATTGTCTCTGAAATACATGAAAAGACACATAGCTAAGACTGCTTCTTCTAAAAATAGCATGTCTATAGAAGGAAACTCAAGCATGGCCATCTTTCACAACATGGCAAAGAGTAGCACACCTCCTTTAGAAACAGACTGTGGAAACATGATTGTACATGTTCCTCCAAAGCAATATACTATAATCCCTGAAAGTACAAATATAGGATGGGAGTGTGAGCAAGATATGATGTTAGTTGTGTAGCCTTTGCTCTGGGCAATAAGACAAGTACCTAAGCAGGCAGTCCAGGGGGGTAAAAAACTTGCCTGAAAAAGAGAGGAAGTCCAATGAGAGAAAGACATGTGGATGCATGGATTATCTGCATGAACAATGAAAGGTGATGATACAATATCCTGAGTACAAATTCAAGCTGTGATAATAAAAGAAGTGACCCAAGTAATGCTTAACATGGCATAATATCATTTGTTTCCATCAATTGCTAAATATAGGTTCTATGATGACAATTAGGGTAGTAACTAATTTGGTTGTAGTGGAAGGCCAAATAAGACACCCTCTCCATTATTGCTAGGAGTCTTAGCTGCGATCACCCTTGTGGGCTCCTGGGAATTTTCCTAGTACCAGGTTTCTCCCTAACTCCATAATAGCTCCCTTTGTCAAGGTATCTCTTTCATTGCTTTCCCTCTCCATCCCTCCCCACACTGGGCCAACTCAATCCCTCATGTTTTCATCCCTATCCCCTCCTTCCTACCCCTCTCCCAGTTTATACAAAAGACTTTAACTATTTCCCCTTCCCGGGGTCCTCCTTGCATGTCCTTTTTCTGATGTTCCTCCTAGTTTCTCTTGTTATCCTTTGCTTTATGACTAATATCCATTTATTATTGAATACATACTGTGTTTGTCTTTCTGGGTCTGGGTTACCTCACTCAGGATTTTTTTTTTCCTAGTTCCATCCCTTTGCTTGAAAATTTCATGATGTCATTGGGTTTTTTTGTTTGTTTTTGTTTAGTTTTACCTCTGCATAATACTCTATTATGTAAATGTACCACATTTTCTTTATCCATTCTTTGGTTGAAGGGCATCTAGGTTGTTTCCAGGTTCTGAATATTATGAATAATGCTACTATGAACATAGCTGAGCAAGTGGCATTGTGGTATGATTGAGCATCCTTTGGGTATATGTCCATGAGTGGTATTGCTGGCTCTAGAGGTAGATTGATTACCAATTTTCTGAGAAACCACTATACACATTTCCATAGTGGCTATACAATTTTGAATTACCACAAGCAATGGAGGAGTGCTCTCATCAGTGTTCTTTATCTCAGTCAGGTGTAAAATGGTATCTCAGTGTCATTTTGATTTGCATTTCCCTGACAGGTAAGGATGTTTACTGTTATAAGCAGTTTCACACCAGCCTGGTCCCAAAGCAGCATCAGTCCCAAAATAACACCCAGAGACTCTATTAGTTATAAAGCTGTTGGCCAATGGCTACAGCTTCTTATTGACTGTCTCTGTCTTAACAATTAACTCATTTCTTTCAATCTGAGTGTTTGCACATGGTCTTACCGGAGAGAGAGTCTGGACCTCTTACTCCTCTCATAGCCTACATCTTGACTCCACTCTACTATATCTTCCAGAATTCCCCTTGTCTCCTAGTCCCACCTATCTTGCTTTCCTATTGGCCAACAGGGTTTTATTCATTAAACAAAAAGAGAAACATATTTACAGAACAACATCTCCCATCAGTTGACAGCCAAGCACTGAGCTGAGTTCTTGGACTTCAACTGAACACAGGGATAAAGAATTCTATGAGCAGGAAGGGGTCAATATTATGATGGGAAAAACCACAGAGACAGTTGAGTTAGTGGAGTTCATAGACTCTCAGCTTTGATGCAATAGTGAGGGGCTTAGTCTTGCCTCAACTTGCTATGCCAGAATTTGTCTTACCCCCTCTGAAGAATGGGTGGGAGTAAGGTAAGAGGAGGTGGGGGGGTCAAGAGGAAGGGAGGGAAAGGGAACTAGGGTTGGTATGTAAAACTAAATAAATAAAAATAAAAAAAATCATTGAGGTGGTTTCCAATTGATACATGAGACAAAAGCTTAAGGATTCACTATGGTCTGGTGAATATAATCAATACTAGTAGTCAGCTTTCAATACTATCATTGTTGCTCAACCTATTGAACATAGTACCCACCCTTAGCTGAGGAGCCATTGATAGCTGATGGTAATTGGGGAGAAAGAATCCATTTTCAATAAGTTTATGGAACCTCATAAGTGAATCATGCTGAGTATGTGGGCAGCACAAACTGGACTCAGTGCGTTCCAACATTATTTAATTAAAAATAAAAAAGAATACATATAGTTTGTAGGGGTTGCAGTTGATCTAGGAGGAGCTAGGGGAAGTTGAGGAGTTAAATATTATCACAATATATAATATTCATTGTGATATTCCCAAATAACTAATAAAATACTGTGTTAAAAGAAAGAAAATAGAGTTAGGCATGGTTGCTTACACCTTTAATCCAGTATTAGGGAAGCAAAGGCAGACAAATCCATTCTTCCCACTCTTGAATTTTCTCAAGATAACTGTCAAGATTACGGAAGGTCTAAGATTTTAATCTTACTTGCAAACTAATGAGCTAGCTCAATATGTTTTATACATGGTGGTAGAAACCTTGAAACTTCTGGGTTAGGAGTAACTGAGAGTTTCTTACTCATGACAATATCTGTGCCAAAGTAAGGTCACTTTTGAGTCTGTTCCTGCATTTCTAGATTCCAGAATATGAAGTGAAACAATTTAATGGTACTCAGCAGGTTGAGTAAAGGAAAAAACACTAAGTATTAGGAACCCAGATTCTTTGAAATGGGGTAGTAAGCATGGCTGTCTCTTTGACAAGAAAGAGAGTAGTTTACTAGACATGCTTCATATTTCCTTGGAGGGAGCTACTGTCTCTACATGGCAAGACTGTTCATTATACAAATTTCTTGAATAAATGTAGAATGAAAGGCAGTCAGCCCCTCTGCATATCCCATGTAAAACAATGTAAGAAATTCTAGTCATATGGTCCTACCCCTAGGCATAGAACACATGCCAATTTTTAGTGCTAGAAGAGGGTATGACAGTTTCTTCTATGTGTGTATTCTTGTATAAGCTAACCACACTCCATTGGAACACCACATATCCAAGATTATTTTAGTAGCACAAATTGATCTTGAGGGATTTTTGGTTTTTGTTTGTTGTTTGGTTGACTGGTTGGTTTGGTTGATTATTTTAGGACACACAGTTAGATGGACAGGGAAGGGGACTGGATTCCCAAAGAATTGATTAAATAAACAAATACAAAGAACAAAAAATAATTAGAAAAAAACAAAGAAAACACCAAAAGAAGAAAAGAAAAATTAAATAAGACCTCAAAAAGTAAAATTTAAAAGAAAAAAGTAAGAGACCACTTTCTTAAGTGTTATTTTTATATTTTAATTATGTGTATGTTG